ATGTGATTGTTGATTACACTTTCTAAGCAATTCAAAGTGTTGAATATAATTTCATAGATATTCTTTCAAACTAGGCGTCTTCAGATATAGTTCCCAAACCGGTCAAATAGATTTCCGTTATTTTCCCCTTTTAAGCACTCTTGCGGTTTAGCACGGGAAAAGTTCAAGTATCAAAGTATTATTTGTCGTGAGATTGCTGTCCAACCAACAGAAAAAAGGCAATCCATCAGGCTTTATCGTCTTTTCGTTCAGGTAACACGAATTTTCGACATCACTTCTTCGATCTTTCACCAATATGCTACCATACAAACACTCTGCCAGATCGTGTTTCTATGGTAAGTCATTCCTGAACAAAAGACATGCAAGACGGTGACATGGACAAGGCGAGAACGTTTTTTATGAACTTTAATTTTGAAGTGTGATGAATAGCATGATAGGCACAACTTTTCTGTTTAATAATCATCATGATACAAGGTTACATACTTAATTGGTCAATATTTGTTCATTGGTTATGTATAATACGCAATTTTAATTACTCTTCATGTATTTAATTAGAGTTTTGTTGATTATTTTATTGACAATCATAGTTACTGTAAACGTTGATATTGTGGCGGTAATATTATTTCAGTGATTTTTGTGCTGAAAACTTTCCGCTAAATTATGATTGCAATAATTACAATTACTGTATATTGATTTCTGTAGCAAGTATTGTGAATGGGCTAATCCATCATTGCGTTTATTTGTTTAACTTATCCCATAAACTAGAGTGCGCCAAAATAAGTATGCTTGCAATATATTACACCTAATCGTGTTCCACCTACTCATTGGACTATGATATATTGTCATGTTAACCATGGTCTGCATACCAGTCCTTCGCCATCTTCTGTTTTGTTTTTTTTTTATTTGTTTGTTTGCTATTTTCTTGTTTTTGTTTTTTGTTTTGTTTTTTTCTTTTTGCTCTGTTGTTTAAATCACTCCATGCTGTAGCTAAAATTGTAACTGTTGGAAATGCATCAGGTAACAATTTTACGTGCGTGTCATGTTTTTTTTTTTTTCCTTTTTTGCTTTTCTATTGTTGTTGTTTTTTTTTTTTTGTTTTTTTGTTTTTTGTATAACGTATATTTAATATTACTTTGTATTGTTGAAATTGAATTTTAAAAAATTGAACTGAGAAATGCTCATTTACTAACGAACTCGTTTTAAAATGGAATTCGGTGAAATATAAAAAGAAATATGGTGACCTTTCTGAATTTGATATTTTAGCTAACGTGACTTTGCCTTCTCCGATAATCAAACGAAAAGCCAATTACTGTAATCATTGGTTATTAAATTTGTTCCTTTCAACACAATAATCGTTAAAGCAGAAATGCGAGATGTCTGCCTAGGTTTTGGGATTTGGCTAGTGTATATATGTGTTCTGTATAAATAAGGCTTCTATAATGTTATTATCCATATCAGAACGAGATAAACATATCTTGTTTGCTTTTGAATTATTATTATGTTTACTACCTTCATTTTTCTAGCCAGATGGTAATCGTAATGACAAGGAAAACTAATTTTCTTTAATACCTTAAATGACATTTATTAAAATGAACAGAAAACCACAGTGCAAACACGATCATAAAAAATACTGCTGATAGACTCAATGTCTACTATCATCAAACATTCCAGTTTAACAAATTTATGAAATTAAACAAACAACTCTCATTTCTTCGCTTTTCATTCTTTTCTTCTGTTCCTCTTTGCACTAAGGGTGTAAGAATTGAGCCCCCCCCCTAACAATTTCATGATCACAAGAAGCGACATGAAAGTAATCTTTTCTCTTATTTTCAATCAACCTCGGCAGTATAATTCAGTGTGATAACACTACCACAAAGAAGCTTACATGATACGCAGCAACCTGTAAACTAGTGCACACAACTTATCACGGTGCGCAACCCTCACATACATAAGGAAGTCGTCATCAAACTAAACCAAACCAAACCTTCCGGAGTTTTGCGTCATTACTGCAGGGTTTAATGTTCAAAAAGGATCAGCTAAACAACGGATCGTACCACCCGATTGATTTATTCTTTTCTTAATTACTAGCTGTATACAAGTACGATCATCAGTCCTAGGTCAAAGTTTTCTTTCTTGTTTTTGTCTTTCTCATTGAATCACAGACAGTAGAGAACTATTCTTTTTTAAAATCATATCAATATTTCTGTTCTAGAATGATGTTTTGAAAGATTTTGAAAAGGGCGTGAATAGAGTCGGTTAGAGTGTATACCTACATATATGAATCAGGAGAAGATCCGAGAAGTATGGTTCAAATCTCCCTAATGGTTTATATTTATCAAAGACAAAGACACGGACCGGCTGTGGTGGCCTTACACCTTACCGTAATTGCTCTGGATGGAATGCAATGGACGTCCCGTGTTATTTAGTGGGATAAACACTGGCTGATACAAGGAGACAGCGCCTCAAGATGACATTGGCTGTTCACTGGAAAATTAATCCAGCAAACAACATAAGATTAAGACCAAGTTATATCATGTTTAAATCTTCTTCAGATTCTTGATATATTTCACCCCTCATGAAATATTCTCATTGTATTTGTTAAGGGATTTTCTTGTAAAACATTACACAACTGAAATTCAATGTTTTGCTACGTTTATTTACAGATGTTGTTAAACGTAAAACGTAAATAATAAAAGTTATATATTATTTTACAGACAAGTAGCGAATTGGTTAGAATGGTTTTTTAACACTGTAGTGAATGTGTCAGCTCAAAGTTTACTATTTATTACAGCCTTAGCAAAATAATTTCAGATCTAATAATGAAAGATATCTTTCCTAAATTGGTATTGGATAGGAAATATCCTCTTGACTTTAAAGGATAAGATCCACACTGAAAGGTCTATTTATGGTTTTGACGAAGTATATATATATATATATATATATATTTATATATATGGAGAACATTACACAACTGAAATTCAATTGCTATTAACGTGCTAAATTAAGTGCAATCAAATTTGATCGCATTTTCAGTTTTTGCCGGATTAGCATGATGACTGAGTTAATAAGCGATTATTGATATATATATATATATATATCATATAATTCATAAAAAAAATATTTTTTTTTTATTTGTATTTTTTTTAATTAAGAGAAGCCATCAGTAATGACGAAGTATGCACCTGATGTAGCACATTCTAAATGTTTAAAAATGTCATGTTTCAATAATGAAGAATTTATTTTTACAATGTCTAGAAAACATGACAGTTTTCTTATTTCAATAATGTTCTACACATAAAAGTAACTGAGCATCATGCTTTTTAATGCTCACAGTTAACTAACTCTTTGTCAGGCTCACCGGTAACTTCTTTCAACAAACTATTGGCATACATATAGGGGAAAATATACACTTATATTGACTGATTTGTTTTTGTTTTCATACGAGGCTGAATATATCAAAGGGCGTTTCAAAATAGGTCACAAATCCCTTCAATTTCACTTTCAGATATATTGATTTATCGACCACGTCTATTGCATATATGAAAAAGAATTGGAAATTAAGGACACATCAGCCGCTTATTTCAATCTTTTCCTACCACTAAACCACAATGGACAGCTTACCACCAAGGTTATGATAAGCATGACGATTTTCATTTTCTCTTTGTTAGTTTTTCATTTCTGGATAGTAACATATCGCATCCAAATGTTAGTGTGTATACAACTCGCAGTTGATTCAATATCCGTAGACCCTTTTACAGTATAACTGACGGACAAACTCATAAAACAGTGTTGCAAACCATGCAGGTTGATGAAATTAATGGGGAAGTTGAATGGTCGTTATAGTGACGTCTTTGAGAAATATTCTATTTCTTTGTGTGATTGCATCTGAGTTTGGATTATAATTATGGTTTTTCAGGAATGTTTTATCACATCCCTGTCTCTTTCAAGAGTTAATGCAGTGACAACAGTTTGATATTGAATGACTATGCTTATCTATAGTCAAATACTGTGAAAAATCGTAATGAAAACTTTTTTAGATTAAAATAAAATACAAGCAAAATGTTACCCAATGCATATTACCACTACTCTTTGCACTCGTAAACAACGTGATGTAATTTCATGTATACTTTAATCATTAATGTATTTAATGGGCACCGCCGTGGTTGACATGACATATAACTCTCTTGTACAATATCATTAAAGAGAAGAGAACGCGTGCTTACACAAAAATCAATAACAGACTTTGCCAAGACTTGTAACAAAATGAAAACGGATTTCACCTGGCAGGTAAACAGATATATTAATGATAATCTCAGATTAGATCAATGATACAGATCAGCGTTATATAACAGTTCATTCTAATCTTAACGTCCTTTATAAGGTCAAGATGAACTTACATACTTTGAAATAAAACTCCCTGCGGTAAAGTTATCCTGCTCTTTTCCCCGACTGTGATTCACCATTGTATTATTTATGTTCTTACCCATTAAACTTGATTATTTGTATAACTATGCATTTATCTACTTTGCTCATTTAAGACGGTCAATATTACTAGCACAGGTCTATTTTGTTGCGAAACTGCTTATTTTCAGTGGAGAGAAAGCTACAATGGTTTAAGCAAAATATACGTTGTTATCGATCACAAGGACTTTATTAGGACACATGATGATTTTCAAATGAAGGAGATCAACATAATTTCATATTCAGCAAGAACTCCCGAGAACAGTATTTACCTCTATAAAGACATTGGTTTCAGGGACACTTCTCTTGTCTGTGGACTAACACTGCGCTCACAGACGGTAGCTGATGCACTGGGAAGCACACGCTCTGACAGAAAACATAAAAAGAATTGACGAGCGTATCTGACATCTTAATGAATACAGTCTCGATAAGACTGGACGTCTCTCGATCAGTTGACATTGTGAAAAACTCCCGCTGTTGTGAAAGGGTTTACTTCCTATTTGGATTCTTTGATCAAGATCTTAGGGAGCAAGTTTACAATGTCGGACAAGTACGTTCATCTACCTGCTACTTTCTATCGTATTATTCGTGTGAGGAAGGAACAGTGCGAAGAAAATGTTTTGAACAAATCACCCCCAAATGACGGTAAGTAAATGTTTCTATTTCTGTTACATTTTGATTCGATTGCATTCGATAAATATATTTTTTCAGGATCAGTTAACGTTCATCCCCCCTCCCCCCCTACCCTCCCACCCCCAAAAAGGTTAATATACGATGGTTTTCTGTTTATGTATTAAAAACTAATACTGAAATATTTTTCATTATCGAAACTACAGTGTTGTCTTCTGTAATTTTTCATAATATCATATTTTTCAAGTTGGTACATATTTTGTGTTTTTGTGTAGTTAAATAGTTTTTGACAACACTTTTAGTATTCTTAGAGAATTTGGAAAAGTAACTTAACATTTTCTTAACTTCAGTAATAGTTGATTGTTTGAGAGTTGTAACGTGTCCTTGATATTTAGTTATTTTCAGTTAATCTTTTAGTTTTGCATGGGACGTGTTATAACATTGAAATGTGTAATATTTTAGTTTCACGATTAATACACAATGTACGATAAACTGTGTTTTCGAGCTTAAAGAATATTTGATACCAACATTTGACAACAAAATGTTTCTTGTGGAAAATATATATGAAACAACAGGCCACCTTATGATTTGCTCAAATAGTTAGTTAGTTACTGTTGTGCCACTATCAGTTATCGGTAAAAAAGTTTTTCACACGAACTGGGACATTTTACAGACCTACCATACTATCCCGGAAATAAACCAAGGCTTGTACCTGACTTGGAAACGAAGTATTTGTCACAATAAACCAATTTGTACATAAAGCTTGTTTTCTTACTTGCAAATTAAGTTATAGACTGTTCTTTTTAATGGTTTAAAGATATGAAGCTACGAATGATCGGTAGGCAATTTGGCATGCACAACCATAGCTTGTTTAACTAATATTTTCATCAACATTCAACAATATTACACACATATATTTTACGTATGGGGTGGGAAATAGGCATTGAGGCTATATCAATTCATTTCCAAAAACCATAGCTGTTTCATTACTAATGATGATGAAGTTACTGCAAACCTATTTCAGTTAGCCAATTACTGTTATCAATACTGATAAAAAAAAGATATGAATATATCAGACATATCTTGATATAAAGACATCTAAACTCTAGAATCAGAATGAGGTATTTGTGTCTACATTTCGCAAGTTTGATGGGTTTTAACTGGTAATTTCCCTGTAGTGAAATGAAACTTTGTCCGGTTTGATTAAATTTTCAAGGAAAAACTGGAAACGTTGCTAGATAAAAGAGAACACATTGAAGCAGCTCTCCTCAATCTTTGAATCAGGTTAAAAAGAGTGGGCGGTATCGTGCAACATGCACTAATTTAATGCTTTATTTTGAAAGTGCCATTTTATCTCATAACAGCAGAATATTGGCCAGACCATTGGAATAGTGGCATAGTTTAGAATATAACATATATTCGATCTCTTTTACTCGGTCTCCTCTTAGGTTTCTTTAAAAGTATATCCTTCCCGAGCCACTTGGTGTAGTCTTTTTCAGCATGATAAGATACAAATGAATAACACCTTCCAGTACATATTTAGAATTATATACTGTTGAGCCAATTACTAGATTTAACATCACGCAATTATTTTGTCTTTCTAAGAGTAATCAGTGATGCCCATGGTCAATATTGCTAAAACCATAGGAGGCGAATGAGGAATACGAAAATTGATCGAAATGAATGACAAGAACCATGTGTGAAAATGAACATTCAATAAATTTCGTAACATGCAATATTGAATTATTACAAATGAACTTCTATGATAAATGTTTATTCTGAATCGAGTTATTTTTCGAACGAATTAAATCACCGTACATCATACTCATCTGGGTACTACATCATGTTATGAAAGAATATTCTATACTGTAATTCCAATCCTTATTAGATCAGAAAATGCAATTATGATAAATAAGTGATCACAATTGTTAAGCGACGGCACTTAATGGTACCAAAAGTTTCATTATAAATCTTGTAACGATCACTCATGCATAATACGTGACGGCTTAAAAACGAATAGAACATTTATCATGTTTTATAGTTTTTTGAATTTTTAAAAAGTAACACATTTATTTACAGCATTATCAAGGACAATATTTAGTGTTAAATCTTATCATATACCTCGATTATAACTGCTTTAAATGTTATAGATAATACACATTTTTTAATTTCATAGAAGTCGTCACAAGGATCTGTTTCGTTGTCCAGAGTCATCTGCCCTTGAATATTAAAACATTGCTATACACCTGTCCTGAAGGCCCTTTATGTAAAAGAAATGTACCTGTATAACCCTACGAGGTGACTAAACTTGCAATCTTTACATTTTCTCTCTTTGTTCTTCCTAATATCCCGTTTGACACTGCCTTATTTTTCGACTTGAGTTGAACGTTGTGATGATGACTTTGGTTTATATTTCTTTGTTTGAGCCACGAGTTTTTAATAAAATAGTAGTTACTACTTCTGCTTGACGTTCACTGCTGTGGTAGTGTAACTATTGGTTTGCTTGTTATCAGTATATTATGACAGAGATGGTTACACTAACATGTCGTGGCCTCCACATACATTAGGGAGCGCAGTCGAACCCTGCACGCAGTATATGTGATTAAGTGAAAGTGGGATAGACTTTCGAGTTTTATAACACAATGCAACGCATATATAAATCCCTTATGAAACTTAGAACAGAATGAGTTTAGGAGACCATTCATTAACATACGGCATCTTTCATAAATGTTTTGAACGTATATTCGGTTTAAGAGTGCAAGTTTTGCCCAATTTTACTTCTTGAATCTATTATTGAATCCATACTACTTCAATTTTCTTTTTAAACACCTTTACTTTTTTCAGGAATTTCCATGCGATTTTTCATATGTTACCATAGCCTAAATTCAAGTTTGGATTATGCTAACATGATGTATTTAATTATATTTAAATTAAGACAAGTGAAACATTATAAAGAATCATTGTAGGAGTTTATTGACATTAACATAAATACTTCATGTAATGTTCATATTGATTTCATTGAAAAGTGAAAACATGGAAATTTGTTTTGTTGGGGTGTAGATAAATTGTTGTATGGGGATACTTGGAGGCGGCGGAAACATAGATGATACAGATATTTTTCAAGTCAAATACTGTAATTTGTCGGATCTTCTGTTTCATATTTGTCTCGGTGTTGTTACGAGGATTAAATTGCATGTTACTCAATTTATCTTTATGTAGGCGTGCATGTATACAGGTATATCATTATGTTCGTGTTTAAAAAACATTTTCAAAGATTTTGGTTAACTGTTAAACATTTCCGCGCTTTCTGAAACGACCACACATATAGCGAACTTAGATTCCAACGTATATTAACAACTAAAGAAGATGACAATCATCAAAACATCGTGGCATCATATACAGTTACATGGATATGTTTCGTCATTTAGCTTGAACAAGGTTTTGTTAATTTCTCGATGCCTTCTTGCTTTTCTTAAAGAAATATTGTTAATCAAAATATGTTACTTTTCAATTGATGCTCATATTAGCCAGAAAAGTAGCAGACGCGCAAAGATCTTTTCTATTCCTACAAAATGGAACATCCGAAATATGCAATCAAATTCGTTATGGTCTTGTTCCCGATATGCTGCCAAGGAATAGACGTTTTACTCCCAAGTGGTCAAGCCCACATTCTCTGATATTAGCTGTCAACGTTTGAGTGACACATGTACCAGAGAATCCGGCTCTAATAGCCGTGACTGGGGAATGCCTCACGTGTATTTCAGGGAGCAGGCCTATCAACTAAAATCCAATCAAGTAGGTCATCCTTCCTGAAAAATAAGTCATTGTGATTGGATTTATGATGGTGAGATAATGAAGCCTATCGGTCAAAAGATATTTTTTCGAACATAAGTGATATCTGTTTCAATGTGCGATAGGTTATTGAGTTAGTTGAATTAAGAATGGCGCCTTGGAGCAACTGCTACAGTTTTATGTGAAGTTTAGATGGCAGATAAAAAAAATATCGTTGATAATTTACAAAGTTTCTTAACACTGACGTATTGTCAAGATAAAAAAAATTAAGAAAATATCAAAATGGCAACAGAATCAAAATTCAAACAGGAATTCCATAAAACCAGGGCAAAGAACGAACAACAGATACATTTACGCGGAGACTCTTGAAAAAGCACAAGGGGAATAAGACCAGGTATTCCGGAAGAGAAAGTGTATTCTGCCTCATCGACGACACCCGCCATGCAAACCTTGGTCAATCCAAGTCACGTTTTCAAATGAGAACAATAAATACAACAACGGAACCAACAGGCAAACCAACCAGCATCAGTTTGACGTTTGTGGTTTCTGTTTCAAGTGTCCAAATTGCAGTATTCATTATAAACATTTGCAATGGTAAAAGGAAAAAACAATAAAGAAATAATCAGCATTCAAACGAATTTAACTGCAGCATACATCTGTTTCTGTCTTTTAGGATGCCAGGGATCTAAATAACTGGCACCATCATGTAGCGATAAATTATTTAGATATTTTCTTTCGTGGAGGGAGAGGGGATGCATTTCGAGAGCAAGGATTATAGGGAAACGTCATGCATGGATGCCTTTGTTTGTGATAAGCCAAGTTGAATTTATTAATCAATTCTTAAATAAGCCTCAAGCCTTCAGGCATATAGATGATATATTCCGTGTGACATAGCCACTAGTGTAATATTATCTTTTCACATAGCTCATATTTATGAAAATATGAGTGCAAAACTCTTAAATCAGTTTCTGGTGTCTAGTACACATACAAACAAAAAGTAGAAAGAAGAAACAAACATGTCAACATAATGTTAATCCAAATTCAATAAAACTATGCTAAATATTAACAAAAGAAATATTTACACTGGAACTTCAGAAAAAGTATCTGGAGAAAAAGACCGGGTGTTCCGGGAGAGTAAGCGTTTTCTTCTTCACCGACGACATCCGCCATGTAAACCGTGGTCAATCATATTAGAGCAAGGTATAAAACAACGAAACCAACAG